AGGAGCCCCTAACATCGGGCCTTGAACCAGGAACCAACGTTTCTTCCACATGTCTAAGGCACGTAAGCATCGCCGCGTGACCTTGATCATGCGAAGCGGATTCCCCCTCGGGGAAAATCCTTTGGTTCTGAGCTACCACTGTAAGGGTCTCATGTACAGCAGGCCAGTATCATGTATCATGTACAGTATTCTTGGCGTTTAGTCTTAACCCCAGCTCTCTCGTATGGGCGAGGACTACATCTCGATGCCGAGCCGCCATCTGCTCCCATTGAGCTAGTATTAACCAATCGTCAATGTAATTGAGTATGTGGATGCCCTGGATTCACAGAGGAGCCAGAGCAGCATCCCCAACTTCGTGAAAGTGTGGGGTGAGAGTGACAGGCCGAAGGGAAGAACTCGATATTGGTATTGGTATTGAAAGCAAACCTTAGGAACTTCCAGTGTTGAGGGAGGATGGAAACATGGAAATAAGAGTTGTAACGAATCAGCTCATGGGAAATATTAATAATTAATCATAACTAGTTATAATTAATTATGAATATTTTAGATCCGCTGTAGATATTTAGCTGACCTCTTAGGGTCAACTGTCTTGTCAATTCTGTCAATTCCGGTCTCTTCAAACACAGCCAGGCGAGAGCGGAGCATACGCAGCGAGAGTAACTCGCAGTGATGACAATCAGCTCCCTCGAAAGCTGACCGTGCATGCTCCGCTCCTAAACAAACAACTCACAGATCGTGTATATCCCCCGCTGCCAGATAGTGTGGGCAGAGAGGCACACAACGTCTGTAATGCCGTTTGCTCGCCATAGATATTATAGGTCCGCTGTAGGTATTTAGCTGACCTCTCAGGGTCAACTGTCTTGTCAATTCTGTCAATTCCGGTCTCTTCAAACACAGCCAGGCGAGAGCGGAGCATACGCAGCGAGAGTAACTCGCAGTGATGACAATCAGCTCCCTCGAAAGCTGACCGTGCATGCTCCGCTCCTAAACAAACAACTCACAGATCGTGTATATCCCCCGCTGCCAGATAGTGTGGGCAGAGAGGCACACAACGTCTGTAATGCCGTTTGCTCGCCATAGATATTAGTTTAGACTTTGATATATTCTTTTGAATGCTTGTGGACTGACAGACAACAGTAAATGGACTGACACATACACAGAGCGCTACTGAAGAGCAGAAGCTAACTTGCGCTCTGCCGGATGCGCTTTTATACTTCCTGGCGCTCACGTCACCCCGCTCGTGACGTCTCGCTGCTCCATTGGACTGATTTTACACATGCTTCAGAACGAGGTCACGCAGGGGCGTTCCCAAAGCGATCTCGATGCAGCTCGAGTTCCTGAAGGGGAAGCTTACTTATTTAGCCTTCAGATTGTGTATAAATGTCAATTTAAAAAAATTTACCCTTATGACTGGTTTTATGGTCCAGGGTCACAAATGATATATGTTTTAACACAGATGAAATGAGCCTGCTTTTGGGTAACTCTTACTTGCAAACAGTGCAGACAAAACATGTGGGATGGTAAGTCTTCCCAAGAGCAGTGACCACCTCTCCTTCCACAAAGTCTCCACAGCCATTACAGCGAGTGCCATGAAGCCTCTGGTAGTCCAGTGTGCATAGGTACTCCCCGTTCTTCATAAAGAAACCACCTTGGGCCAGGTCACAACCACACACTAAATGTGAATACAAGAACAGAGAAATCAGAAATTAGAATAATTAGTTTAATGAGATCTTACAGAACAAGACAGTCTTGAGTGAAATCTGAAACACACCATCTTCAAAATAAATTACACTTAGTTTGGCTCTTTTGAAACACAACTCAGTAGTCACACAAGTGCATCTCTTTTGCACTGGGATTTACACATTTTAGCTGCCAGCAAACATAAGGTAAGGGGGCTTATGCTTACCTTCGCTAATGTGTCTGAGGACAAAGGCGTATAAAGAAAGAGTTTGGTTTGCTGAAGATTTCCTGAGGCTTCAAGATGCTTTCAAGACTCTAGCCCAAGTTCAGACACTTTATATAGGTCTGCATGAATAGGTGTGTTAGGTCTGTGTCCTCTTGGGAAGCGTGTCTATGTGTAATCCTGCCGTCACACATGCCAAATCTGTCTGAAAGCTCCTTGGCAGGCCGAGACTGATATTTAACAGCTTGTTTAGCGTCACATGATACCCCCTTCTCAACAAGCCTGCTTTTCTCTCACTTCCTCTCTCTTTCTATGTTTTTCTCTGTCCATCCTCCTACATTCCAATCTGTAAAAATATTAGGAGGGCAGTTTTATGAAAATAGAGTGTACATTTACAGGAAAATATGGGGAAGTAATAGCATATGATGCAGACCACATTCAAACTCCCATCTCCAGTTTTAGCACCACAGCTTAATGTGTTTGCCACAGGTGTGCTAATATATTTTAAGTACCACTTGATATTATTTAATAATTTAACAAATCATTAACCTGTTCACAGTTCCCTGATGTAGGTTAATGATCGATGACATGCAAACCTTTTAAAATTTATTTTTTTATTTGTAGTCCCATTTCCACAGCTGTTAACATATCTTTTGCTTCGTTGAATCTGTCTTCTGTTTCTGGAAGATTAGGTCCATTCAGACAGACGAATGTGACAAGCAGGTGGCTGTGGAGACGGCAGTGCTTAGCAGCAGAGAGAGAGAGTTGTGTAAGAGTCGCAGTCAGTGCCCTCACTTGTGTCTGGCATTTGGGTAACCTTCACTGACAGGGTACAGAATGCCAGGATGCCAGTTTAGAAAATGTCATACCCATTAATTTCAAAAATTTCACATATAATTCAATGTTTTACATGCTGTTTCTTTGTCATTAATTGAAATGCACACACATTTTTGTACAATTTAACAAAAATTAAAGAGTAAAAACTTTTTCTACACCAATGTATTTTAGTATATCAAATATTCAAATGATTTTGATTATTTTAAAATGTTTTAATAATTAAAAAAAGATAATTGTTAAATAATTGATTGCATTTTATAAGTTAAAATAATGGAAGTAAGAACTTATCATTTAGCCCATTTATTACCATTTTATTGTTGTACTGGTATTGATTTCAGCTATATTTAAGGCCCTTTGTTATACTGAAAAAAAACTTTGATAACTGTCCTTGCCACTATGAACCTGCAGGACACCAGAGCAGTTTGCACACAGCACCACCTTTTGGTCAAAAGTAGCATTGTTAGGTGAAATCTATATATATCTGCTACATATACCTTTCAAAACGTGTCTGTCCATATAACCTATTCACCTTTTAAAACATATATATATAGTCTATATATGCTTTTAAAACATGTATTCTTAAAGGAATAGTTCACCCAAAAAAATAAAATTTTATCATCATTTACTCACCCTCAGGTCATTCGAAACATGTATAATTTTCTTTCTTTTTGTGTTGAACACAAATGAAGAAATAACCAAAACAGTTGTTGGTCCCCACTGACTCCCATGGTAGTGAAATAAATACTATGGAAGTCAATGGGGACTGTTTGATTACCAGCATTCCTCATCTTCTTTTGTGTTCAACATAAGAAACAAACTCATACAGGTTTGGAACGACATATGGGTGGACATAAATGATTACAAACTTTTCATTTTTGGGTGAACTATTCCTTTAACAGAAGAGTATGAGGTTCCATTTGTGTCAAAAATGCTGCTTTGTGTCAACGACTGCTTTGTGCTTTGTACTATACATTTGTCTTTGTCTTCAGTCATTGCCTACTTGTTCAGGTAAATCAGTATATGTAGGCGTGTATGTTGTCTGTTGACGTCATCTTAATCTGTCGTCCTGCCTGCTTTTTTTCTGTCGTTTAATTACTGTCGTCCTTATTGTCGTTTTGTTCTGTCATCTTGTTCTGTCGTCCTAACTGTCATCTTGTTCTGTCGTCCTAACTGTCATCTTGTTCTGTCATCCTTACTGTCGTCTTTACTGTCATCCTAACTGTCATCTTATTCTGTCGTCCTTACTATCATCCTTACTGTTATCTTATTCTGTCCTCTTTACCATCGTCTTGTTCTGTCGTTCTAACTGTCCTCTTATTCTGCTGTGCTTAATGTCATCTTGTTCTGTCATCATAACCAAAAATCAGCTGCGGTAGTGGCAAAATCTCACATGTAGTAAGTCAGTCTTGTATCTAGGAACATACTACAACCTTTGGAACATGAAAAGGCCTTTTTGGTGAATTACAGTAGTGACAGAACAAAACGACAATAAGGACGACAGTAATTAAATGACAGAGAAAAAGCAGGCAGGACGACAGATTAAGACTACATCAACAGACAACATACACGCCTACATATACTGATTTACTTGAACAAGTAGGCAATGACTGTAGACAAAGACAAATGTATAGTACAAAGCACAAAGCATTTTTGACACAAATGGAACCTCATAGAAGAGTAGCAGTAGTTACATGGACTGGAGTGTCTGGGAGTTCAACTGTGTGTGTGTGTGTGAGTGTGTCATGAGCAATGACGCAAGTGTAATGACGCTCTCAGCTGTCTGTCAGATCCCTTCTCAACAGAACAGCCTGTTAACTCCTCCCAGAACAAACATCCATTCATTCTCTCAATCACTGAGCCAACCTCTCCATCCTCACACTCTGCCTCTGTCTGAATGGAAACAGAAAAAAATGATTAATATAAACTACTGGGAAGATTTAAGAAGAGTAGGGACATTTGATTCAACTCAAATGTGACTTTTCAGTTCAGATTCAGTTCATATACCATGATGCAAAGAGCCTCAGAAACAAAGCCAAGTTAAAATCTGTTCAGAGTGAAGAAGCGCAGAAACCCCCGGGTTTCCCATATAGTATATGCAGACATCAAACGAGCTTTCACAGACTTCATCAATATTTTAATGAGTTTCCCAGCATGCTGTTTTCTCCCTGCACTTTAGTGGATGGCACTCTTTCAGCATGGGTTCCTCTCCACTTTGTTTGAGACTTCTACTTCTGCATGAAGAGACATCTCACCCTAAAATATACTGTAACAGCAGTGGGATGTATAGACAAACACTGTCTCTGTGAAGTCGTCTCTCATCTTTTTACTACTGTGTGATTATGTACTTCATTTTTATGCACTTTAATCGCTCTGTGAGATCAGCTAATGGAGCAGATAAAATGATTCCCAAACAAGAACCCTGGCTGGCATGAGGGGCCCTTTGGCACAGAGCATGGGACCATTTATTATCCATGTGAAACTACCAACAACACCGTTATGACAAAGCACTACCATGTCGAACGCCAGGCCTGTCCAGCCTCATTACTGGAGATCTCAGGCTGAATATATGGGAGAGAATTAAAAGAATAGTTCAGCCAAAAAAACTGCATTTATTAGAGAAGCAACAATGTATCACGGGCATCTGCTCAGTGAATCGGTAGATCTGGTTCACAAAATAGTGATTTGTTCATAAAAAGGACTGATCCAGAACTTGATTCAGTGAAGTGATTTTAATGATCAGTTGTGCATTTCCCAAAAGCAACTATGGTCGCAAGTTCCGTCATTACCAATAGAGTTCAATGTAATGAACCACCATAGTTAGCTAACAATGCTTTTGGGAAATGCACCCCAGGTTAATTATCACAGAATAAAAATTTAAATTTCAGCTTGTTTCTCACACAATGAAATTGCATTAATTCAGGTGGCTTATGAATATCATATTGACTAATTTTATGATATGCTTATGGTGCGTTTGCATAATTTTTAAGGCTCCAATCCCCATTATGTGTACTTGCATTGAGAAACAAATGGTATATTTTATAAAATGGAAGAAACAAAGTCATATGAGTTTGGAATATGAGCTATATGAAGATCATAAACATCAATAACTTAAACTAATTTTGGTGAGTTCTCCAGATTGGAGACATGGCGTGATTTTCTGCGTTGACAGAGTGAGTGGATACTAAGGGCGACACATCATTCATACTGCTTGTGTTGTGGTGTGTACTGTATGTACATTGAGCAAAGCTGCAAAATAAAATGCAGTGTTTGTTAAAATAACCGCTGAGTCTACATAGCACAAATGTATGATTTCTGAGTCTGACCTCAGCAAGGAATGCAGGTGGTACTGTATGCAGCCTGCAAGTATAATTTAAATCCTTAAACATATTTCCTGTGCTTATAATAACTTCACTTGAGCCACTGCATCGGCTGCACTGCATTGCATTGTTATATATACCACCATTATAAAGTTTGAGATTAGCTAGATTTTATTTTTTGAGATTACTTGAGTAATTTTTTGGGAGATGAAAATCTGAGAAGCAGTAGACTTAAGAAAAAGTCTGTTAAATATCACTGCTGAGAAAAAATACATTAAAGAGATGCAATTTGGGATTTTTCAAATGAGACAGAAATATTTCAGCAATGTTACCTCCCTAATCTAAGTTAATATTTACTATTTTTGCTAATTTTTTTTAATTTGCAAGTGAATCTATTATGCTAAATCAATCATTCACAAACAGAGCAGTCTTTTTTGTAGACTTTAGTTCATGGACATTCTTAGGATGACCTCTGGTTGGACTCATCACTGATTCCTGTCCCAGCTGCATGCGTGAAGCCACAGTATTACAGCCTTTGGTCTGACATTACAGGGCTAGTTTCAGACACACATCACTGCATAACAGTTTGTATTTTGTATCCGAGGCAACTTGCTG